AATGTGCCCCACAACCGAATAGGTCTTTAAATGCGGATATTCATAGTTAATCTTCTCTTCAGACAGATTCCTTTCTATTTCGGCGCTTAGAGAACCTCTTACATATTATTGAACTAATTTCGAAGTTAATAATAATTTATTCGCATGCAACCCGCCAGTCGAACAATCATTTTTCAAGTTGAACTTAAATTTGAACTCATAACCATTAACAATATTCAGCCTTCAGGAAAGGATGCAAATCGCCGGTCAATGGCCAAATGTCAATTTACGCAGGTTTTATGTTTATTTGTCCATTGATTAATGGGCACACACGAGGCTTTCGGTCGCAGGTCTTCCATCATAAGGAGTCGCCCCTTTTTTCGAAGGTCGCCCTTCGCCTTATTTATGCATAGAATTTATAGGCCAAAACAGCATATTTGTGTCATTAGCCGCAAATTTTTGACCCATTTGTCATTAGAGCTGACTGCAGACGGGCAGACCCGAGGATTTGCATAAAACAAACGGACAAGGACACGGCCATCCGTGTGTGCCGTCCATTGTGCCTGCCAAAATGTGTGACCGACAAGATTTATCAAGTAATAACAGACATTTCGGACAACCCATAGACCCATTAGTAACACGCTGTTTGACATTGTCTGAAAATATCATTTTAATCACAGACCGCACACAAGCAGCACAAGCAGCACATGGAGCACATGGAGCTGGCCATTCAGGATGCGGATTGGGCTGCTCATGCTGACGGGCGGAAGGAGGCGGCGACATGGTCGACATGGTCGACTGCCTCCCGGCTCGCAGCTTTGAGATGCTTCATGGGCTACTACTAGCGAAACGAGACTGGGACCTTCAAATGCGCTGCTGGAGCTCACTGACTTTGTCGGACATATGCATCGAAATAGCAGGAATTCGATATATATTATATATTCGATATATATTAAAGTTACGTGTCAGAGGAAGTACCCTGTACTCGCAATAAATACAAGCAAATCCGCTCCGCCGTTGAGGAAACTCAAAATACGACCGCAGGCCACAGTGCGTATGAGTAATGTGCAATGAGTGTAGTGTAACGTGAACTTTGGATGGTGATGGTCTTTCGCCCAAGGCTGGTACTCAGTGTTCCTGATTTGGCGGAAGTACCTGGTGGCGGGATTTATGGCGTGTCCGCCACTGAGAGCGACCTTGTTTGTGGGTGGCTAACAAATTGAATTCCAGAACTATTGAAATTAATCTGCGAACTTTGCCTGGCTCATCTGTCCAGCTGTCTGGCTGTCTGGTTGTGCGGATGTCGGGATGTCCGTCAGTTGGCACATTCCCACACCAGCAGGTGGATACGCACTGACTGATTTATGTGCGGCAATGTCTTGGGCTGAAAACTTTCTTTCCGTGCGGGTTAAGCCGCGGCGAAAGAAAATTAAAAAATTACGGAATACGGAAAAGGAAAAGTAGCAGCCGCGAGGAATCCTGGACAACTTTTGATTTGTCTGCCGCAGTCAGCCGCCAGCAAGTTGCAACTGTGCCCCGCGTGCCCCAGATCCTTGGGGATCCCAGGTCCTCCTTAAGTTTTAATTACACGAAACGTGAGCCAGATTACAAACTGCCACCTTCCTTGATTTCCGTGCTCCCTTCGCAAATCAAGCGCCACATCACGCAACTTTCCAATAAACGACTCACTTGTTCTCCCCGACCAATTATAAGACTCCTCGAGATACAGATTCCGTATCGAATTGCAACTTGTGGCCCCGATATGGAATGCATGCTGCCAGCTTCTGTGGCAGCTGAAATTGGTTTGAAAACAGAAAGGCATCGCCCTTGGTTTAAGCTTTTCCATGCGCATATTGCAGTAATCCAATATCAATTATGGCTCTAAAATCATAATATAATAACAGGGCTCAGAGCAGAAGAGATGGTCTGGAACTAATGATTCGAAAGAGATATTTTGCTTTTAATAACGAATCTTTGCACATGCACTGGCATCATCAGTTAAACGCATTAGATGCGATATGTCCGATGTCCGATGTCTGCCGTAGTGTCCAACAAACAACAATAAATTTGACTGCAAAGTAATTGTCGCAGTAACAAAGCACAGTATTAGGAACAGAATTCGGAAAACAGAAAATCAAATTCGTACTTGATTGATGTTTGATTTGATTACAAGGAGTGTCTGTTGTGGGTAAATCAAGGAACATGGAACATGGAACTTGCGAATGTAAGTACGAGCTACTTGCGGCCTTGTGACCAAATCAAATGTCCTGGCCGAAACTTCACTCCATTACTACCACACAGTTGGCTGTGTGGCCTTATCACTTGGGGAGTTCTTTAAGAAATTTGTGCTATATAGATGAGCTAGATGACCCCTGGAATTCAGCCCTTCGTACTATCCTACTTGAAACCAGCTAATCAGAAAATAGGAATGCTTTCTGCAGGTTTGTGCGACTCGGACACAATTTGCTTAAGTGTTTTGCAGTTTCGTTTATGAACCTCCACAGAGAGAAATCGCAGAGCAATTAATGGCGAACTCATGTAGTTGTACGAGGATGTCATCGGAATTCAAGCCAGTCCCACAATCCGTGTACGTGTGTGCTCCACAGTGGAGGAGCAACGGAAGGCGAAAGGATGCACATAGATACTACCCACAAGACGCCATAATCGCTGTGTAGCTCCGAGTGTAACCCAATTAGTTGACAAGCGTTTCATACGGCTCCCAAACAAGGAGCCTCCAACTCGGAAACTCATCCTAGAATTCCTGTCTCTCGGGCAAAGTCATTGTGGTTCCTTTTACTAAGTAATCTCTACCAACTCGCAACGAAAAATCTATTTTATTCTACTCGACTCGATATGTGTCCTTCTGGACACAGCTACACTCATAAGGACATATGAGAAATATTTGAGCATAATCGAAGAGGACTTTTCGTAAGAACGTGTTTTACATTCAACATTTATCGGCCATTTATCAGAAGACCATTTCAGCTCCCAATCAGTAAAGCGAATAAATGAATTAAGTCAAGTAGAAGCTGAAGAGTCTTAATTCAGTTTTAAGGCCCCAGCGCCAATGCAAAATTATTTTCCAGCAGCCAAAATACCAGTTTATCTGGAATACATCACCTTGAGTTACCAGTCCATCGTTTGCAAAGTGTTTGCTCATTTCGGGAAGTAGATTTTAGTCTGGATTCTACACTGGGAAAACTAAAAACACAAATCCAATTGCCTTTTGTCTGGAGATAATGCTTTCGCTTTTTAATTGCACAGGCATATCTCGCGGATTCGAGCTATTAACACTTATATTTCATTATAGAATAACACATTTCTCCGCTGTGCGGACAAAGAAATTTATTCTGGGAGCTGCTGATCACTTATTTAATTGACAAGGTGGCGGGAAACTCGATCACATTAGACCTGATAGAATTCCCGCTGTGGGAATCAATCTCTTTTGCGAAACACAAAATTCCATATGGGAATTTGATTCCGTCGAAGAACTTGTGCCCCTAAGCCCAAAGCAACCACAACAATATGAGGAGCGGAAGGAGGCGGAAACTTTTTTAATTAAAAGGAAAAAGAAGGAAAGAATGAAACTTTTGCCACTGACAAAATGTTTCTCCCGGCCATCAACAAGTTAAGCACAACAGAAATTGTTTCTTGCCGCATTTTTCCACCTGTTTTTCTTCGATTCGCCTAAACCCGATAACCACGCACGAAAAACGAGGAAAAGCCCGCCCACTTGGCTCTTGTTGTTGCTCTACTTATTGCGCTTCATTTGCAGCAATGAAATTTAAGCGTTTAGCGAAAACTTTCTCCAGTTTCGTTACTCACTCTGCTGCATGAGATGTATGCCAATTAGTGCGTCCAGTTCCCTCTTTTTGCCGCCTCTTGCATTTGAACAACAATAGGCTAAGTACTCCATATTTTTGCATTTACTTAACCAGCTGGGTGCCATATTCTACCACTATTATGCAAGGCCAGAAGCCCGGAATGAAGGCCAGTGTATGTGGAGTTCGTCTTCCGGATGCTCACATCTCCACTCGCTTTTATTGACTTTTCCGAAAATGGGAAAAGCGGGCAGCTGTTCCCTGTGTATTACAGTGGAGCGCCGTAATTATTGTTATTATTGTTGTTATTATTATTGTGTAATATTATCATGATTATTTTTATGGCTTTTGCATTTTAAAACAAATGAGACTCAGTAAGACCTCGCATGTGTGCCAAAAATGGCCAAAAATTACCCCAGAAATGGTGTTTTTATGTGGCTTTAACTGCCTGTCCGTTGCCCATCAATTTTCCTAACTTCTGGCGAAAGCGAGCCAAGAAATGACAGCGGCAAGGAGAAAGGAGAAAGTAGAAAGCGGAGGATACCAGCTCCACGAACATAAAAATCAAATTTCCGCGTAAATCGTTCGCTCAACATTTGTTATTTTGTGCACAAAAACGCTGAAGAGCGGCGAAATTGTAGCCGTTTCCCACAAAAATAATGCATTACATTTGAGCGAAAAAGTACACTTTTTCCATAAATAAGCGAGTGGCCAAGCTGATGTCCCCAGTAAATCAAGCACGAACAGCTCTTCGATGGCCTCTAATATTTATTGGCTGGAAAGTATGTGGCATGCACAAGCGACCTTGTAAAGTACATATAATATTAATCAGGCTGCCTAGCCACTAATTGATAAAGTATATTTTTATATTATTTATCTGTATTTATGGTATATAGCCTGATTAATCATTAACCCATTGCATGTGGAAGGTTCTTAGATAAGGCTTTCAGAGAATCGAAATCGAAATAAACGAGGGTATGGGCTCGTCTAGAGCCACCTCGCAGCAAGGCGGATTCAATCTGAAACTGGAGCCAAGCTGGGGCACAATCGCAAATGGACAGAGACTCGGGAAGTGCGTCTAGTTACACCGATTAGAACGGGCGAGAGCTGAGAGTTGCGTGCTGGAAACTGGAAACTGGGAGCTGGACACAGTGACCTTGAGCGGCAAGTGGAGCTGATAAGGCGGCATTGGAGCGCTGGAAGTGGGAGCTCGAATCGAATCTTGGGAGCGGAAGGGCGTCAGTTGCTTGTTTGCCACCGAGATGAGCGCAATTAAGCCCGCCCTGCTGCTGTGCCTGATCCTCGCCATAGGCCTGTTCCTTGGCCAAGGTCGGGCGAATCCCGTGGAGGCGAATGTGCCCAATGTGCCCAATGTGCCCGATGTGCCCGCGTCCGCCGCCAACGAACTGGACATCGATTTCGGGGAGGAGGACGCCACCGAGAAGCCACTGGGCATAGTCTCGATCAAGGTGCGCCACATCCAGCCGGACCCCGCCCACTGCACCCAGCTCTCGCCCCACCACCCACACCACCCCCAGTGCCACAGCTACTGCAAGCGCCAAGGTCACTGGGTGGGCCAGTGCAAGAGGAACTCCTGCCACTGCTTCTCCTAGGTCCTTCGGCTATCTGAACCCCGAAACGGCCTTTTTTTTAAGTGCAAAACTGTGCGAGTGTGTTTATCTATTACATCAATTGTTGTTTACGGAAGAAAGACCAACTTACTCAATTCATACGCACATTATGTATTCTGCGACCTACTTACTCAGCCTGGAACTTAATAAATGTTCAAGTTAAATCCACTTCTATTGGACACTACATGGATGTGGATTATTATTTTGTGGTTGAGGAAAACTAGTTTAGCTGGGTTTTAAGCGAGCACTGAATCCAAATTTGTAGAACGCAGAAGAGGAAGGTGGTAAAATGAATATTCACGGATGCTTTCCATAGCCATCCATGCCCATCAAGTGAAACTTTTGCTTGGCTAATTACCAAATGTTATCATAGCTTACGGGTTACTGAGATCGGCCAGGAATGAAAAGAATTTCCAATTAGGCTGAAATCCAAACTTCACTTCAAAGAGTCGGCGATTTAATGAATGTCATTGAAGGCCCAGCCACGCCAATTATATCCATTAGTTGACATTTAGGCAGTGAATTGCGGGCTTGAAGAGGTCGGCGGCTCAGATACTCGCATATTGGCCAAGTTTGATTGATGGCATTGTTCTGTGCCATAAGCTGCAGGTCTTACCCCAAGTGCCCCCCATCTGGGTGCCCTGGGCACGCCTAAATCATTGCTTTCCCTAGTTGGATGTGACAAGGAAAATGGGTAAATACGAAATAGATTTCCAGCCGTTGCTCTGGCATTTCCATTCCCCCTCACACATGTTCTAAACTGATTTCAGCTCAATATAATGTGACGTCTCTCGCCTTTGATAAGGGTTCTCCTCTCGGCCGGATGCTGTCAAATGATAAGCAGCAGACAAGCCCAATAAAGGGATATGGCGGAGATGGCGAATTGTTATTATTACAACACTTGAAGGGCAGGAGGGTTCAAGGGGGAGGAGGGCCCTAAAACATGGCACGCACGAATGCCTTTCCAATTAAAAATTCAAAACCTTTTTTCAGCCACTCACCAAATTGGCGAGTTACGTGCCAAACAGAAAGACAGAAGGTTCCAGCTCGGCGCTATTTTTATGCACACGCATTATCGCAATTATGTCGAATGGACGAGCTGAATATTCCACAAGAGCTGAATATTCCAATTAAACGCATTGATACCCTATCAACAAATCAACTAAAAGTAATAGGAGTCATAAGCTTTGCGACAACTTTGCAAAGCATGATCATGATGAAATTTGCGTTGAGAGTAAGTAAAAGTGGTTCGAATACAATGCGTAGTTTTCGGCCTCATTACATTTCGTGCGATTAGATGCTGCGCCTTATCAGTTAGATTGCTAATCGTGTTGGTGCGGCAGGTAAGTCGCTTCCGGGGGGAGGAGCTCAACTAGCGCCGGGGGACTTGGGATACCGAATCCACATCGATGGTAGATACTCCACCGGCTAACATCAAAAATATACATATTTTCGTGTGTATCTTTATAATAATTTGTTTGCCAGCTAAACTCTCCCCGGGGCACATTTAACTAAAGCACAGCCGAGGACAGCATTGATGGAGAAGTGGGTGGGTGGCAGGGTCCTGCCGAAGGATGCGAGGTGGCGAGTATCCCGGCCTAACCGACTGCTCGTGGCAATTATAAATTGTGCAAAATAATTGCATTAAATATGTAAAAAGGCGACGCCGAATAGAGGAGCGTATTACAGGACGCCAGTGGGATCCTTTGGCTGCGGCAGTGTGTGTGCTTCGAACTACGTGCCACCTATTAACTTTGACCCCCAGCTCCAGCTCCAGCTCCAGCACTCCAGGACACCAGAATACACGACCCTCCAACTTCGTTGGCCCAGCAAAAAGTTCTCCTCTTTGAGTGCACATTGTGACGAAGATGCGACGCCAGTGCCGGGAGCACTAAGTAACTTATTAGCACCGGGAAGAGTCGGCTTTGGACACATTCCATTTGCTTGCAAATTTAATGATTCCGCAAATGAAATTTCATTCTCGCTTTGCAATTGTTCATTTCCCCGCCGTGGAGAGTGCTATTGCAGTCCGGCCCAGGAAACCAAGTTGGCTGCCTAATGAAGCCTTCCTGGACTCCAAACGCCGTCGAACGTACAGGTTTCACTCCGAAAGAGAACAGATGATGGCACAATCATACTCAGCACTAAGCAGTACACTCCTTTGAACATTTCAGTAGAAACAAAAATTAGTTAACACAAAATTAAAGCCAGCAGGTGAACCCTTCCATTTTTCGATAAGTAAATATATTTATCATTTGGAGGCGATTCAATCGAATTTTATTGAGTTTTAACAATATAATAACATTTTTTGTCGTGAAAACATATAACCCGATTCTTGCTGTGTGTTTTTTCGCCCTGTTATGTTTCCATTAACATGAGCACATATGGGCCAAGTCAAAGAAGTGTGTGCAAAAAGTAGAACGAGAGATAATTGATTTGTTATTTCCATTATAAAGTTTATTCGCCGCTCGCACGAGTAACAACTTGCTGTGCATATTTCGGTAGAATAAAAATTATGAAAATCCTTGGTCACTTAAGGACCTTCCACTGGGATTTCCGACGCCACTTAGCCACCTCGTCGCACTCACAGCCACTCCCTTTCAACCTTGCAACCTTGCAACCTTTCAACCCTGCAACCTTTCAACCGGAGCGAGCAAACAGTTGCTCATTTATGTCTTTGCCCTGTCGCCCCGCGCTTGCAACTCATTACTCATACCACACGTTGGCCGGCCCAGGAAACGGGGGAGTTCGATTCACATGCGCTCCATTGGCTCGAAAGTACAGCTCAGGAGTGCGGAAACACTTGGCTCATTTGCATAACACCAGAGACATAGGTCTGCAATAAGGTAGAAAACTCATAACATAAATACTTTTTAGGCATATCTAAACAATACTAATAAATAGAGTTTTTTGTATATTACCTTAGAATAAGTGTTCGAATATATGTAACAATAATCCTATTGTGATAAAACTTTAACCTGAATATTTTTGAATAATTTTAAGAACCCAAAAAAGCAAACTTGGCACGCAACAAGTTGAGCATTTCATTTGGCATTTCGAAATACCTCTAGCGTGGCAAGTAAAGTGGCCAAATACGATACCGCTGGTTCGCGTAAATAAAGATATTAGTGAGTCATCCACTAGTCCGGGAAGCTATTTAATGGATACTTAATCGAAGCCAAGTGTTAGTCATTTGAGCTGCGTGGGAGAGCCAGTACCTTCCTCTTCCTGCCCAAAAACAACCGACAATTTGCAGATACACGAAATATGCGCCAGTGAAGTCGCAGTCGAATTGCCGCATTTCGATCGTGGCAACAAAATGAAAAGTGAATCAAAGCAGTGGCAACGGAAACGAAATTAGGCGTCGAACAAATAAAATATGAAGAATGTGCAAATTAGCTGAAATTCGTTCACGCACGAATGAAACGGGACTGGGTAGTGGGGAAATGATATAATTGCTGGGGCAGGAAATTTAACTGACTGAGTGAGTGACTCGACTCGACTCGACTCAACTCAACTCAACTCGACGCAACTCGACTCGAAAAATGTGTATTTTTTCACCAGAAAACGGGGTGCCGGTAAAATGCAAAGTTGCCGCGCATGCCGCGCATGCTGCGAATGCCCCAAAGTGTTGCACACTTGACTGCCCCGAATGATGGCAGTGGCAAGTCGAACGAAGGGCGCTTGGGCTGCATGGTGGCAGCAGCCCAATTGCCAGCGGCGTTCACCACCCACCCACTGGGATGACTTTCCCAAACCCCCCTCCTCGTGGGCGTCAATTACAACCAGGCTCCCAGTTCCCTGCTCCCCTTTAATTTCCTGCCTGCCCCCCGTTGCCGGCGCTGCCAGTCAATGAGTGCTCCATTTTTAATGGATTCTTTGTGAGCCAGCCACCCGCTCGAGCACAGAATCATGCAATTACATCGAATTATGATCGGATGGGAACTACCAGTATGAAGTACTTAGCCTGGCTGATACTAGCAAACCATAACTTGCCTACTGAATACTGTGCTTTTAATTAAAAAAATATATATCAAGTCAGTTGGGTCCATCACTAAGTTGCTGCATTTTTTACAACTCCTAACTAAATTTGCATGGCTATTAACATCAACTTTTGGAAAAGCCAAGCAAGGCAAACGTTAGTAGTAACCAGAGAATATTCAAGTCACTTACTGAATTATAAGTTCCCGTTCTGTGAGCATCGCCTGAAAATATTTGCATGTCCTCAATGGGTGTACACCTTGTCCATTGGCCGAAAATTTATGCGGGCACACGCTTTCTCAGAGGCACTGCAAAAAAATCCTTCGATTCGGCGGCATTCCTTCGAGCCGAAATAAGCTGTGCAGCTTACGGGGCTCTTGACTGACCAGCCACCTCGGAAAAACCTGAAGGAACCGCACCAGATGCACCGAGTGCACGGCACAATTGCAGGCACTTCTTGGGAGCTTGCTTACTTATTCATGGCACGGCTTCCATTCGGAGCTCGCCAATTGCCGTTATTGCAGGGAAAGGTGCTTGGTACCCCTTAGGAAGTGGGGTGTATTGGTCCGCGAACGAGCGGGACAAATTGGCGCCCTAAACGGAATGAAAGCGGAAAGAAGTATCACAAGTAGGCAGCATGTTTTCTGTGGATACTAGCCTGTTGCTACAAGAAATTACCAGTAAATTTGTTTAAGATTCTAAATTTAGCCTATAAACAATAACCTAGAACAGTCCCTTGCAGTGCTATTTAAATGAGCCACAAGTAGAGGGTATGCAATAGTGCGAAGAGGATTACTTGACTTTCCTTACGGGTGGCTTGTAGCCAAAGCTTGTAGCCGAAGTGTCCACTGCACGGCATTCCGTGTCGTTCGCCGGATACGGACGGCGATAGCGGAAATTATACTATCTGCTAACTGGTTTCGTAATGTTTACTTGGTCCACCACGCCGCATTGCCCATCGACCACCTCGGAATGCATCCACAAAATATTCAGTGAACAAATCGACTCCCGGACCGGCCGGCCTGGCCAGCAACTGCATTTAAAGAGTTTTTCATTTGACTGAGCAATTCGGTTCTTATTTTAGTTGCGGGACCAGCGGTGGGTTTATTAGGCAACCTTTTCTGTGCATTTGGCACTTTTGGAGTCGGATCCACTGGCCAATAGCGCTCCCAGCAAAGAGGAGAGCCCAACACTGTCAGTTAC